ACGATAGTGATGACATTAACTCCCATGGCTTGAACTCAATTCATCAACTTGTTTTTTATAGTTCATTATTTGCTCCTAAATATGAACTATGGAAAACAAGTATAAATAAATCATATGCCATGTAAGAATCAGAAAAAAAATCTTGAAAAAACATTTTTTTTGCATCTTTCTTTTCTTCCTATTTTAAACTGTTGTAACCTACATAAGCAGCACTTTGAGGCAATACAGGATAGCGCATTAGTAACTTGACGCCCTGTGTATCTGTGACCACCTTTATTTGCTGCAACCAAACTGCCGCATCCAATGTGTTATTGTATTTGCTGAAGGTGTCGAAGATGACTCCAATGCATGTCTTCTAATCTTTGAATCTTTTTCATACTTGATTCTATGCCCAGTTAGCTTGTGGATTTTTGAGGTAAGAAATACAACAATGAACCGACAGATCTCTTTGTAAAAATCAAAGCTGCTGATACAAAATTTTCACTTAAATTTATATAGAACAGTAATACACAAAAATTGACATTAAAAACCACCTAAATATATTTAAAATAATTGCTAATTAAAAACTATTAGAAAACTATTAAACTATTAAAGAAATTTTTTTCTAAAGCAATTTATAAAGCTATGATCATTTTGAGGCAAAAAAAATTACAACAACTTCAAATTATAATAAAAATGAAATAGTATAATGGTAAAAATAAGTAATATAATAATAAAAATTAATAAAAAGTATCAGGGCTCAAATTAAGCTTATTGCAACCACAAATCGCAATTGCTTTTCACACTTTTGCATTATATTTTTCTTAAAAAAATTATTTTTGCAATTTTTTTTTCTTTTTTAACTCAGTATTTTTTTGGCCATTCTTAAAAGTATAGAATGTTTTAATTTAAGTTTTTTTAAAAAATACATAAAGTACATCATGGGGTCATAAAGCACGTCATGCTAAATTTATCTTTTAAATAGAAGGATCATTTTATCTCTTGGACAGGGATCTTCATTCAACATAAAGCAAATTTAAACTACTTTAAACCTCTACATGGAAGCCAATCCTTTTTCTATTTTAAAGTTAAATTTAGTATGAAGTACATCACAGTAAATTTAACTATAAACTAAATCAAAGCAACCAGTCAAGTTACTACATTTAAGTCATTTAACTTAAATTCGAAGACTCGCAAAAGTTAGCCATACAAATGTTTCTTTTTATATCTTATATGTTGTTAACACATAATAAGCTTCTAACAAAAATTATTTTAACAAGCAATGGAACTTAAAAAACGCAATACCATTTTTTTTTATATTTTCATTTTATTTAAAGCAATACCTATATTAAACATTTTCTATAAATATGCAAGTAGTATTTTAAAAATTTTTTTAAAAAAGAAATCTATTTGAACAAGAGAACTTTAGTCTTCTAAAATTCTTTCATTTAAATAACTTTAAAATTGAAATTTGAAATTTAAAAAAAAATTAAAAAATTTTAAAAAATTTAATGCTTGCCAACAATAATTAAAAATTTAATTACAGCAACATCTGTAATACCCAGAGGCATAGCAAGGATCATTCCTGAAAGTCAAAAATTGATTTAGCTACAGTAACAATATCAGATTTTGAAAATAGTGCAAGTGAGAAACAAAGTTTTATTTAAATCACAAACATTTTGAATAGTTAAATATTTTTTGTAAAGGCTTATTTTTTGTTTCTTGATAACAGTTTTAAAAGCAGAAATATTCTATTAAAAACATTAAACCAGTGATTATTTTAAACATTAAATTAAACATTAAATTATAAAAAATTTAAATTATAAGAAATAATTTATTCTACTTTTAAACTATTCTGTTTAAAGTTGTATATATTTTTAAATAATTTAAGCATATACTTAAACTTGGATATATAATTCGACTTATCAAACAAACATTTTTTCTCTCACTTTTATTGCTAAACAATTTGAACAAAAAAATTGAATGAAAACACCAACTTAAAAACCTTTTGAATGAAAAAATTAGTTATACTTTTAGTAGGCTAGATAAAGAAGCAATAAGTTTAAAAAAACGTGGTATCTAATGTTTTTTTGTTTTGATCTTTCTATTTAGCCTATGAAGTTTAAAGTTTTATGAAGATAATGTTTTATGATTTTATTTACTTTAATTATTTTAAACGCATTTTATATTATTAATGTAACAAACTGTATAAAACACCAATAAAACATCATCATGAAGTTGTTGCATATTAACAAAAGCTTTTTATAATGACAAAGCAACATTGCAGTATTGTTATACTGTTGTTTTATAGCTTTTTATAACAATAACGTAATACTCTTTAAAAATAAAACTAGTTTTATGGTCAGCATGAACAGAGGTATTAAATAGTTTTCTATAACTGTTTAAAGTAGTTTATATTGTAATACTTGCATTTTTACTTTTACTTTTTTAAGAATCATGTTAGTAAAAACAATTACTAAAAGCAATACCATAATAGTATTAAACACGTTTACACTATAGTACCTTACACTATATCTGCAACTTAAACTTAAAATTATAACATTTGTTGTAAATTATAACAGTAACTTATGCTATTTTAAAGTCCACCAAAAGAGAATCTTATAAGATAATATTTAAATATGAGAGATATTATGTTAAAAAAATAACAATTACAAACTATTGTAATAAAGACACAATTTGATACTTATGCAACCCTCCTTACCACAAAGCAACGCCAGAGATGGATAAGGAGGGGTTTCGACAAAAAAAAAATTTTCCAGATTAATTTTTTATGCACTAATTCGAGCCCAGAGTATATATAGAAATTTTTAAACAAAATTAAATTAGGTATCTGTATACTGTTTTATTTCATTTTCAAAGGATCTTTTTTTAAATTCTGCTTTAACTTCTTGCTTTTATACAAAGTTTTCTATTGAAGCAAATACACAAGTCACTAACTTTTCTTTTTTTATTGTTTAAAAATAGTCCTCTTATAATTTTCATATAATTTTCAATCTCTTCAATTTTTATTTTTAAAATCATATTGTATTCCATAATTAGTAAATATTTGTACATATTTAATATTCTTATAGTAAATATTTGTTGTAGTTGTTATAAGTAGACGACTGACTTCATTTTCTTAAATTGTAGATTAATTGTGGTTCTTAAAATTGAAGATTTAGGTTTAGGAAAGTATCTTTTTAACCCTCCTGTTGTTACAAAATATGATAATTAAAATTTGCTCAATTGGTGCATTAATGACTATTGATTTCACCTTCTCGATAATCTTGATTTTTCACCACTTCTGTTTATAATTTCACTTTATTTTATAACATTTCACTTTTTTATATACCATTTCACTTTTTTTTATAACATTTTATGGCAAATAGAACAGTTTGTTTTTGAAACTTATATGCTTTTATTATCTGAAAATAACCATTATGGATTTTTTATGTAAAATTTCATTTTCAAACTCATCATTGCAAAAAATAATCAGATGTAAACAGATTATGCATTACGGTGAGCTGAAAAATAAAAAAAATAAAAAAAATCAAAGTGGCTTTAGATTTGTAAAACACATTTATGAAAAAAAAAAGTAAGTGCTACCAAGTTTAGCCATACCACTTGGGTTTAATTTTTAAAATGTAAAACTGACAAATGACATTTTTATAGGTTAAAAATGCAAAAACAATCATAAATGCATTTTAAAATAAGCTACAAGAATCAATTAGGTATTAATTGATACAGAAATAAATTTAGAACATTATTTATTAAAAAAACTTCCTTAAAAACTATAACTATAAAGTTATTGCCAAAAATCAAAATTTTTGGCAATAACTTCATAATTTTGTTTTTTAGTTGAAATAGTGGCATATTCAAATTAACTAATTTTTAGTTGAAATAGTGGCATGTTCAAATTAACTATTAAGATATAAAATCCTTACAATTGTAGTGCAGTGGTGTTTAAAAAAACTTTAACTTCTGACCTTTCTTGCAACTCTAACAGCAGATATTGGATAAACATAATTTACCCATAAATTAAATAGTTCTACATTAACATCTCTCTGAACATCTCTCTTTTCTGTAGTTTTTAAAGTAAAGACATCTTTCATGCTTTAAAGTGAAGGTTCTCCAAATGAAAATTGTTCTAAGGGTTTAAAGCATTCACCTACAATGTATTTATTTGATTTTTTTTTTTTTTTTGTAGACATCTTGACCATATTTATTTATCTATGTATCTGTAAAATAACCAAATAAATATTAAATGAGTACATTATTGGAAAAAATGTTGATTTGTTTTTAGTTTTCTGTAATTCATTTTTTAAATATAGGTGTTACAAGAAAATGTTATAGAATAAAGATTGTTCAAAATTAAATTCTGCATTATTTAGTGTAAAATCTATACACATTGAACAAAATTAGGCATTTTATAAAGAACTTATAAATTTTTACCCTAAAAAATTTGACAAAAATGTATAAAATTAATATTATATGGCTTTTTCAAAAATTGAAATTTGAATATTTATCAATCATGGTGGTATTAATAAGTGACTAGGCCCAGTCGCACCTAAAAATAAGACTTTTTACAAAACCAACCCCAAAAAAACTAATTCACATTTGACAAGCTTGCAAGCAACCACTATTAAATAAGTTAAACAAAGTTAAACAAATAAGAATTAAGAAAACAAAGAATAAAGAGTTAAAGGTTATCACGAAAATACACCACAGGTTAAATAGAAAGGAAATGCTTAACTAAAGATTTTAAAAACTGCAGGTTGTATAATCAAAGTCCAAAAGCATATATTACCAATCCTCAAAACTAGGGTCAGCAATTGGCAATGCCGACTACTTATTTAGTACTGAAAAAATTAGAATTGAAAAAAATGAGCCCTAGCCAGCACTATATTTTATCAAACCCAGCCCCAGTCAAATTTCAACCTCGGTCACTTACTAGGAGATATATAAAACTATAAACTTGTCCTCTAAAACAATTAAATATAAAACAAAAAACAAGAAAATACCTGCATAACCACGTTGGTCAGAATCTTTTAAAGACTTTGCCTATAGAAAGTAAAAAAAACAGAATTTTTTTGTTTTAATATTTTAGGAATTTAATCAACTATTTATTGTTTTTGCTATCAAACTATAAACTAATAAACTTTTTTATACTTGTGTAAATTTAATTAAACTTAATGCTTGTGTAAACTTAAAATTAAAATTATGGGTTACTAATGCAATCATTATACTGATTTTTAGATAGAAAAGCATAATCCTAACCCTAATTTCAATTAGATTTTCCAATAATTCTGTTATAAAACTATTAACTAATTTTTTTTTTATAAGTGTTGGTGTAAACCTAAAATTAAAATTACAGCTTACTAATGCAATCATTTTTACGTAAAAAAGCACAATTCAAACCCTAATTTCAATTAGACTTTCCATTATGACAACAGTCATATTAAGGTTACGGGTACAGTAAAATTACTGTTATTTTGAAAAAAAATCACATAATAATTTGACATTCAAGAAAATGTTGTTTTTAACCTCTTGATTTGTCTAAATAATTTTTAAGATAATAAGTAATATTTTATATGTAAGAAAATGTATAAAGATAAAGAAATAGTAAAGAATGAAAATTGCTTTGTTTCACTGATTTTGCTCTTTCAAAACTTTTTTTTTGTTTTGTTTTTGTTTTTTTACAAGAAAGTATTAAGATAAAAAATGTTTTATAAAGATTAAAAAGAGTAATAAATACTACCAACAACAATACAATAAAATAAAAAAGTAAAATAAAAGTGGTTGTAAAATAAACTTTTAAAAGCACTAAACCTAATTATTAATTTCATAAAACAGATTTATGGAAGCCATGACCACAGTGATATTCTAATTAATCTTAGACTATTAAAATTAATACTAAAAGTTAAAATCTATAAGGCATAATAAATGTAGCAAATTTAAAAAAAGAACAATACCAATAATCTCCATGGTAAATCTCTTTTATTTTTATCATAAAACGCAAGCAACTTTTTTCGAAAAATAATAATTTCTTCATTGGTAAACTGATGATGCTTCATCTTCAAACAAATAATTATATATATATATATATATATATATATATATATATATATATATATATATATATATATATATATATATATATAAAATAAAAAGTATTATGTATATTATCAAATATATATTACATATATATATATATATATATATATATATATATATATATATATATATATATATATATATATATATATATATACATATATATATATATATATATATATATATATATATATATATATATATATATATATATATATATATATATATATATTTATATATACACTTATATATATGTATAAATATATGTAATATACATAGTATACATAATATACATTTAATAATATACATCATACATTTTATTATAATATATATATATATATATATATATATATATATATATATATATATAAAATATATATAGCATACATAATATAAAACATAGCATTTGGTAATATACTTTATACATTTTATTATTATTATTATTATTATTATTATTATTATTGCTATTATTATTATTATTATTATTATTATTATTATTATTATATATATATATATATATATATATATATATATATATATATATATATATATACATATATATATATATATATATATATATATATATATATATATATATATATATATATATACATATAAATATATATATATATATGAGTTTGATATATATATATATATATATATATATATATATATATATATATATATATATATATATATATATATATATATAAACTGATGATGCTTCATCTTCAAACAAATAATTTATATATTACATACTCAAGTATTCCTATAACATAAAAAGTTTAATAAAAACTGCCATGTATCTGTTCCTCTGAAACAGTAAACATCACACGAAGATACATTAAATTTTAAATGAATCATTCAAATAAAAACTATTTTGAACTATTTTGAAATATTGACTACTTTTCGAAACAAAATGCAAATATGATTTTCAAAACTTGTTAGTAGAGAGCCCATATTCCTTTTAAATTCTCTTTTTGTAAAAGTTAAAGTGAGATTTGAAATCAAGATGAGATTGTGAATTCTCAAAGAAATTATAATAAACTTGGTAAATGTGTTTCGGGAAAAAAGTCGCAGCATTGAAAAATTTAACTCTCCGACGTGAAAAATCATAACTTTTTTTATGATTTTTCATTTTACTTGTTTATGATTTCTTTAACTGAATTGGTTTGCAAATACAAGTATGACTAAGAGGCTAAAATCTTAAGCAGTTCAATTTGCAAGTCACGCAAGATTGAATTTGGCTTTTAAAACCAGTGATGATAGCTCACCTGTGCAGCAACAATGGGATTATTTTTAGGAAAAAAAGGAAGAGATGCAACCTAATGACAATTAGACAGAGCCTCATGCTTGGCAGTAAGAGCAGGTTAAACAACATTTAAAATGTTATTTTTATACATTTTTCCAAAAGACGAAGGACTACGTTACAGGAGCCAGCTTAAAAATAATTGTATTCATGCAAGGATGAATAAGAGATTTGTAAAGGTAGAGTATTGAATCAGGAGTAGGATGATAGCAAGAACATTAACTGCAATGACACTTAGTTATTTTTTTCAATATAAAAAAAGGTTTTTTCAAATCATTTATTAATAATTTATATACTTATTTTGATTATATTAAAATGATCATAGAACTGATTTAGGGGAATGCAAATTCCAAGATGCAAGAAAACGAAGTTGAAGCCTTATGACTATTACAAAAAGTTACTTTGAAAAGTAGTTTTATAATTGTTTTTATTAAATTGTAAATAGTGCAGGATAATTGCCATTTAATTTAATCCTTATAACAAAAATTTGGGTGTTCCTTTTTCCCTTAAACTCAAAGTCAACCACACTGTAGTCCACAGCTATAGCTATGGACCACATTGTAAATGACTTTAGATCTACTTTAATACTACTTTAATATTAAAATATAAATTTATTAAAAATCATGTTTTGATTTTTACTATCGATCACCTTTATGACAAAATCTTAGTCTAACAGTATACTGACCTTAAGTATAAAGACTAATTTAGTACTAACGTTTAACTAAATTTCTTATAACAAGTGAGTAATTTAAAATTACATTTTTTTTTTTAATAAGTTATAGTTTTATATTGTTTGGCTTTGCAGTACAGTAAAAATTCACAGTATTTAAAAGCGGCGTTTAAAAACGTGTTTTTGCTAATTACTGTGAAAATTCACCTTGAAAAAAATATTGCCTAACTGCTAAATACTTAGATAGTCATAAGAATCACTTTTAGGAATAATTATTTTTAATAAAAAATTCGTATTTTTTTAAAAAACTGTTTATGTATGGATTTCATGATATTAACAAAACAGTACTGTGAATTTTCACGGTATTATCAAAAGTTGTTCACGTGTTTCGAAAAAATCTTATATATAACTAAGGACGTATTAATAGATGGACGTTTAACGTATTGTTTAAAAGCCAAGGTATCCGCGCTATTCATTGTGACAAATAACAAAAGCAAAACAATAGTGAACTATTTTTAACTTGAGAATATTTTAACTTGATTTTACGTCAAAATAACGATAGTCTCGTCTAGCCTTAGAAATATTTAAACATTTCATTACACCTAAAAAATCTAAAAAGTTTTTAAATAAATAAAACCTTTTCATTATATATCTATAAACTCAAGCGAAATCTTTATATGGAAAAAAAAAGTTAACCACAGAAAAATATTAAAACAAAATTGTTAGTGAGACAAAATTTCCGACAAAAATGAGAAATTTAAATACTTAAAATAATAGTGAAAACTAAGTGTAGGGAATAGAGACCACAAGTAATCTATAGTTCGATCTATATATGATCTACAGTTTTACCTAACACATCTAGAAAATTCGTTTCACTTTGCAGTATTCATTCTCGCAAACTTAAATATCACTTTTTTACAAAAATATGATTTTTGACGTCAAAGTTTTATTAATAATAAGTTCTTATTAAAAAGCGCTCACGTATCAAATTTGACATTTTAAAACAGATGAGCTATTTCTGTATAACTATTATGCATTAATTTTTAAAAAATGTTAGAGTTTTGTAGGTAATTATACTTTTTAAAAAAAGTAGTTAGAAAAGCGAAATTATCAGAAAAACGTCGGTTTACTTTTATAAATTATTCAGAAAAATGACGCTAAAAAATATAGCTCCCATAAGTTTTTGTTTACTTGCGGCGCCTCAGATCTATAACAATGGGTTAAACGTCCATCTATTAATACGTCCTTGATATAACCTATCAGGCCCGATCCTTTCGGGGATGCAAGGTTACAACCGTGCCGGGGTGCAAGGTTACAAAAGTGCCGTCTTTAGCCTTCTTGCCGCCCTCTTTCTGCCCCCCCCCCCTAACAATTTATAAACCTGCCGGTTAATTACACGGAAAATAATAACAAATCGAATTCAAAAACAATACTTTGCAAAGAAATGCTACATACAAAGAAACGTTTTTTGCTTATGTTTTATACAAAATACATTTAATTTTTTAAATTAACCTTTCGGGCCTTTTTATCACCAAAATATTTGATTAGCGTAGAAAAATCAAGATTTTCAGCAATATCGTTTTTAATCGGTAGGGTTCCTAATTTTGAAAGTCTATTATGCGATTTTGTTGATCGCAGATAGGTTTCATTTTAGAAAAGTTTAATATCTTAGACTATTGAAATTAATATTAAAAGTTAAGATAGTTTTACTAACAATATTGACTTGAAAAAGAACGTCATACCAGACAATTAAAGAGACAAGAAAGCTAAAACCTTTCAATTGCTCTGCTAAGGCTATTGCTTCATGCACAGTTTCAGGATCACATCCTTCAAATTCTGACAATGTTATTAAAGCATCGTGTATATCACCAACTTGATAACAAATGACTTTGACACTACTTATTTTTGCTTCCCACCGCGTTTCACAGAGTTTCTTTTAATGCAAAATGTTAACGTGATCAATTAAAATTTTTCATCGGCTCACTAAAGCTAAGAATAGAGTGAACAATCTCTGGAGAATACCAAATAAAGTTATAGATTTTACTGAAGACCGTGCAGAAACACTTATTACCAAATTTAAATTATGACTGCCTCAGGGAACATATAATGCTAAAGGATTAAGATTTAGAATCCTCTTTTGTACCCCATTAATCTTTCCTTTCATATTCGATCCATCATTATACCCAAGGCGGGATAGGGGTGTGTGTGTGTGGGGGGGGATTTCAATTCCATGTTTAGTTAGCAATTCGATTGAAACTTCAGTAAGTCCTTAGCCTGTAGAATCAGAAACAGAAAAAACCCTAAAAAGTACTCTTTAACTCTAATATCTAGAAAAGTCAACAATTCGAATTATAAGAGAAAGTTGTTCTTTTCTAGAAATATCAGATATACAATCAGCAATGATTGAATAGTAAACGGCTTTCAAGAGTCGATTTATTATTTCACCATTAACTATTTGAGACATTAAATCTATTAACTCATTTTGAATATTTTTCCCGCATTAATGATCTGAATTGCTCCTTTTATTAAAAGTGCTAAATATTTTTGCATCACAGAATCAAATTTTGCAATCATCTGTATTAGTCCAAAGAATTGCCATTTTTGGGTGTAAACAGTTTAGCTGAATTCCCTCGAAAAGCCATATTGTTTTCAGCTAGGTAAAGAGTGACATTCATCAAGCGAAGAAGAACATTTTGCCATCGCAAACTGTCTTTTTCTATAAATTTAAGTTCTTCATTATCTATAGTTTTTCCAGTTTTTAATCTTATTTCAGTATCTACCCACTGTTGATAACATTTCATATGGGAGGCGCTATTTTCATGAATTCCCAATTATTTAGTTAAATGTCTCCATTTATTGAACCCATCAAAAACTAAGTTTGACTTTGATTATTAAATATTTTATTATCAAAAAGTAGACAACAAAACCAAAATACTGAGTTTTTGGAATGTGAATAAACCAACCATCTACGGCAAAACGTTTCTGCATTTGCAAGTTTTCT